TAAAGTTCAATTATTTTCATAGTTATAATAGACTCAACACTAAAAATCAAATTTTTAAAGATGTTAAAGACATTTGCAAAAAATAAAATAAGAAAAAAAAAATCGCTAGAAAATCGCTATAGAGTTAGCTAGTCGCTAGCTAGTCGCTAGCTCATTTCCCACCGGGATTATTATTTCAAAATTTAGGCAAGTAGACATCATAATATTATTGGTTATTCATAAAGTCTTTAAATGAGTTTAATATGGTTTTTAGCAACGCATTAAAAGACTTCATTTGTACGTGTTTAATAATACGTTGATTAAGTAATTCTTATTGGTTTGGTGATAAAAGTAATCGCCGCAATTTTAAATTATAAAACCTTTTTGCATTGCTTTTGACTTGGTATAATACCACGCAATACCACTCGTAATTAAATCAATTTAAAATTAAATCTTGTATTTTGTTTAATTTATATGGTTACGGATATTATTTTTTAAAACCATTATTTTTATATGTTAAAAAAAAAAATTATTCAAAATTTCTGTTATTTATGCAACATTTCTGTTTTAGTATATTTTAGAAAAAGATTTTTCTTTTTCTAAAATAACATAATAAAACAGGAGAATTTTGTATTTCAACCACTTATGTATTAATTTTTCAGATTTCCAAAAGTTACATAAAATTGTGAACTAAAACAAACTTTGTAAACTCAAACTTCAGAAAACTTCAAAAAAATAATTAACATTAATTTTTAATGACTTTATTATGTACGGATATTTAGGGGCTTGGCGATAAGACTATTTTTGTCTTTTTCTTGCCCCTGCCATTTGTATATTTTACAAAAGAAAAGTAATCATTTGTAATGGCAAATTTGGAAAAAGAAATCATAAAAGTTAAAAATCATCCACTGCATTAAATAATGTCTAATGCAATAAATAATAAAAACGATCAATGACCAAATTAACTTTGAAAAAAAAATTAATTTGACAATATTGTTTGAAAAATACGAATGATCTTATAGACTAAAATCACTTATAAAAACTCTTTCTTCGCTATTCTTCGACCACTTGGAGTATAATATTTTTATAAACTTAATGAGCATGTCATATTCTGATGAAGTTTTGTAAATAATTAAGAAAATTTAGTTTCATTATGTTTCTAGAAAAAACATCATGACCCATTAGAAAAGCCGAGTTAAAAGCTGTTGATCACATAACAAATACGCCTAGAAATTCTTTACTGGTAATTCGAAGTAAAATTTTCTGCTTTGTCTTAAAATAATAAGTTATGTTCAAAGAAGTAATAAAGATATGAGGTAAAGATTGACACATTTTTAGAAAAAATGTGTCAAATTTTATAGCATACGACAAAAAAAAAATTGGCATCCAATATTTTTAAGTGTTTACTAATGATATTACTGCCATAAACTGTTAAAATTTTTAGCTTTTGTGTAATATTATTATTAGATAATAATTTTTTGTTGCTGTAGTCCCACTGTCAATTTTAGTCTCTATCTGGGGTAAGTTTCTTTAGTCTCTATCTGGGGTAAGTTTCTTTAGTCTCTATCTGGGGTAAGTTTAACAGTAGAATGTTTTATGCTTTAAATGTTACAAATACCTTATAAGGGTAACATAATAATTAGAATTTCGACAAATAAAATAGAGAAAACATTCGAAATATATTCTAGCACCAACGTACCGTTTTCTTTTTAAAAATAACCACTTTAGAAAAAATGTAAAATAGCGCTGAAAACATAACAACAAAATTGTTATTAAAAAAGATAACAAAAAGATTCAGTTATGATATTGTCTACTTGAATATATAAAAAGTAAGTTTCCTTAATTTAGATTTGCTTATTTTGGTTGATTCCGTTTCATTTAATCTTACACAAGATTCATCAAGGTTCTGAAAGAGAACAGTTGCAACATGCATTGTCCCAGGTGCCGTAAAGATGATCTTTATAAACAATGTATGATGATAAAAATTGACCGGTTGCAGAACAGCATACCTGAACTGTGAACATTATTTTAGTTGAAGTATTGACGTTTGCAGAAAATTTTTTGCTTGCCTATGTCGGTTTGAAATCGTGTTTCATCTACATTGAACATATTTTGTGGCTTATTCTGTAGATAAAATTTCTCAATAACAACTGTTAGTTTTTCAAAAAAGTCATCAACTATGTTAACATTCCATGTATACGCACGGTTAGCAGAAAGAGATTGTCTAATCCGAAGGTTGAGTTCGTTTTCCCAACTCTCCTCAAAACCACGCATCCAATCAATTCCAAGCTTGTTATTCTTAAAGGTATTGGCTCTATCACTACTGTTTATGTAATCTTGCACAATACTCACAACATTGAAACAATCTATCCCAAAGCCCCAGTCTCCAAGTTTCTGAATTGTATGAACAATCAACGTTTCCTCTTTTCTTGTCAAAATTGTTAGGCATCCAACTTGTTTACAATTTACTTTCTTGAGATGAATAATTAATGTTGTTCTATTGATATTGCACATGAATGCCGCTTTATTTATGCTGATATTGTTTTTACTCACATCATTAATGGCTTTTTTCATGGCTTCCCAATCATACGATTCCCATGTTTAACCTAGTTTTTTTATGTAGTTGCGAGGCATATCATAAACTTTAAAAATAAAAAATCAATCATTTATTAAATTAAGTAATGACTATAATCACACATTATTTATTTAATTTAAACGTAATGACAATAATCACACATTATGAGTAAACTTTGTCAAAAAAATAAGAACAAGTTTAATTTGTGTCGTTGTTTGTATTTACAATTATGTGAATAAATATAACAATATTTGTTCATTCAACAGATTACTATCGCGTCAGTTGAACTAATTTAAACAAAAGTCAACAGGTGACTGGTAAAAACATTTAGTATAACACGTGTCAATCCTGCGTTACCTACATATCACGTAAATAAAGCTATATTGATAAAATTAGCAAAACATCAAAATGTTTAAAAAACTATATTGATAAAACTACATTAACTAAAAAGGTCTGCATTTGTTTTAATCGTGATTTGTTAATAAATATTTCAATTACAAAGTTTCTTCAGATTTGCACAGATTTTTGGTCGAAGGAATACTCAAAACTTCGCGAATGAACGAATGAATACTAAACCAAAACTTCGCGAATGAATGAACGAATACTAAACCAAAACTCCGCGAATGAATGAATGAATACTAAACCAAAACTTCGCGAATGAATGAATACTAAACCAAAACTTCGCGAATGAATAAATGAATACTAAACCAAAACTTCGCGAATGCATTGGATAATTTTTAAAGGCTTTCTCCAAATCTGTATCACGCCACTTTTTTTCTCAGTGTTAACATTTGTAGCATCTGTCACGATCATTTTTATAGATCTCCATAAATCATATTTATTCTCGAAGTCCTTCTAAAATTGTCTCTGACTTTCCATTCTTCAATACCATTAGCTTTAGCCTAACCTCTTTTTTATTATTCTTTATTATGACTACTTGATGTTCCGCCCCAGCTATTTTTTTTTCATCAAAATGCAAACACCAATTGTCAACCTTTAGTTCTTTTCTTAATTTATTGACAATTCCATAGGAGTTATAATTCATTTTGAGCGTGAGTGTTTTTAAAAGGATGTACCTTAAAATTATTGTCATTTTTTAAAAATATAAAACTCATATCTAGGTGACATGCTCAATTGAAAATCTTAAAATTATTTTTTATTTTATACCTCTAATGCCCACGTCATTTGATTACTATTTTGCTTTTTAAATAGGTCTGGAAAAATGTTGTTTGAAATAGCGTAGTGAGAATCTTTACATATAAAATCAGAAATAATAATGTTATCGTTGATTACTCTAGTCGATATATCGCCCTTTTATTGTGCTTTAGATTTATTTAGTTTAGAAGTGTAGTTACCTTTTTGACGGTTGTATGTTGAAAAGAAAAGAGTATTGGATTTATTATTAAATTTCTTATCGCAATAATGCTTGGATGTAATCTGTATTTAAATATTGAAATTTCTATGGGGTCATGGATGAATGTTTCGATAGTTTCAGGGATAGGTGTGATGCGCAACAGCAATATAGTGTCTTTATAATATGCATTAAAAGTATCGGCCACGATTTTATCATCTAATATAATAGAATCATTTTCCACTAAAACAATTTAGATCTAAAAGTTAAAATCCTCTAACAATAATAATAAGATTTTATATATTTATATAAATATAGGTATATATTTATATAAATATAGATATATGAATAAGTATTTTGTAGAAGGTAAATGTATAGTTTATAAATATGATAGTTTGAAGGTAAATATAATAGTTTGAAAAAGAGAAAAATAGTAAGAAAAGGAAAGAAAAGTATTGTACTAGAAATATTACAAAAGAAAACTTAACTGTGAAAGAAAAAAAAAACAAGAAAATGTATATATATAAAAATGCAGAAAACTCTAAAACTAACGACCAAAAAACAAAACGTGCCTTATCTATTCAGAAATCCACCGTGATATTAATAAATCTACATTGTAAAATATATACTTTGATATCGCCCTTTTATTGTGCTTTAGATTTATTTAGTTTAGAAGTGTAGTTACCTTTTTGACGGTTGTATGTTGAAAAGAAAAGGGTATTGGATTTATTATTAAATTTCTTATCGCAATAATGCTATCGAATATCAAATAATGCTATCGAATATCAAATAATCTATCGAATATCAAATATCAAATATCGAATATCAAAATATCGAATATCAAATAATGCTATCGAATATCAAATAATGATACCGGTCTTTGAAACAGGTCAAATTTTTTAAAACAATTTTGCCAATATAACATATTTTGTCCCACTTCGCAGCATTTTCATAAAATTATCACCGTTTAGCACCTTATCAATCTTAAAAATAGTTTTGTAAAAAAAAATACTTATAAAATCCTTATCTTGAAATTTTTTTTTTTTTTTAAATTAAGATTGAATATAGTTAAATTACTTTATATAATATCCATGGTAACAAAAGCAGTCGAAAAGACTATATTTTAAGTTTGGTTACATTAATCATTTTTTGTTTGTTTTTTCAGCCGATCACGTAATTCTTTTAATTGTTGGAAAAATACAAGTTTGTCTTCTTTACGAGGATACTGTGTAACTAAACCGGAAGTAGAAGGCATTACGTACACAGCCTAAAAATAAAAAAAATCTCAATTGATGTATGTTGTAAATAAAATAAACATTTATTATTCAAAATAAATTGCTTAAGAAAGTTTACAAATGTTGAACTCTGATTTTCTAAATTTTATAAAAATTAAAGGTAGCATTAAGGTAGCATTAAGGTAGCATTAAGACCCTAAGGTTATAGCTTAGTCATAATTTTGAACTTTATTCTAAAAAAAAAACACGAAAAGAATCAGACCTCTCAGTCTATTTGTGAATGAAAAAGAAATAAGATTAAAAATTTAAATGAAAACAAGCTACGTTGATGATAAAATTGACAATATTGATAAAAACATTCGAACTACCGAATTAAAAATATTCTCTTGTTGTCCAATTTCACATTTCTTTTTTCCAGAAAAAACTTCATAAATACCTATTAAAATTATATTTATTAATTCTTTAAAATAAATATTAAAAGTAATTTAAACAAAAAAATTGTAAATTACTAATTTGTCATAAAAGAACTAAAAAAGTTTAAAGACAAATCTATTTATTATATATATTATTATTTATTGTAAATTACTAATTTGTCATAAAAGAACTAAAAAAGTTTAAAGACAAATTTAATGAAAAATATAGTTGAATAAAAAAGTAGAAGACAAAAATATATGTAAGTAAAAAAAAGAATTAATACATAATGTACCAAAACTATATAATTAATAAACTAAAAAGATAATTTTTCTTTAAAATATTGTGTTCAAGCAAAGTATTTAATGTTTTACTTTTTAAATCCAATTATTATTGTTAATAAATAATAATTTAACAAATAATTTTTTTAACATTTTCTATACACTTATAGCATAAAAAATGTGAGAAAAATAACAATAAAACTCCATTTAGTAATGTCCAATGATTTAATGATATACGTTGATTTAAGAAAGTCTGATGATTTAAGGATGTTCGATAAATTAGTGATGTCTGATGATTTAGTGACGTCCGATAATTTAGTGATCTACGATGATTTAGTAATGTCTAATAATAATAATAATAAAAAAAAATTAAACTGTCTTCATTTAGTGATGTCCGATGATTTAGTAATGTCTGTTTTACTACAAACTTATTAAAAACAAGTTGAAATCTCAAAACAGTTGTTACGGTTTTTAATGATCTGTTCAACTTTTTTTTTCTTTCCATATTCCAGCTGTGCAACTTCAAAATTTCTTTCACAAATTTAGAAAAAAATCTTCTCTCTTTACTTTAAACATTTATTAGGTTTCTAACTTCTAACATTTTTTTCTTGTATAGGGTTTAGTGTTTTCACACCTCTGTTATAAAAAAAATTAATAAAAAAAGAAAACACAAAAAAAGTAAAAACATCTTTAAAAGTTTAGAAAAAATAAAATCATTTTGCAAACATTTCAAACAACAGCTTAATTTGCATGGAAACTGTAATTAAATTTAAAGTTTATTTAGCTCAAGCTACTTGAAGTTGTGAGTGTGTATTAAAGTGAGTCTTGAAGTTGTTTTCAAACATAATTATAATAATGGAGTTATTAACTAAGTTATTATTGGGATTCGGTGACCATATTTAAAAATAAAATATTTGGATCTAACCTAGATTAAAACCCACATATCCTATTGGATTTTTAGGTTTCAAGTCAAGTGGTTAAACTACTAACTTAACCATTGGGTTTAAAAAATATTTTTTCAAATGCTATTCACCTCTCTAAGGCTGAGAGAGCTACTACAATCAAGGAGGCTACTTTTTTATTTTAAATTGTGCAACCGTCTCTTAACTCTTTAACTCTGAAACAAAATTATATAAACACAGTTGCAAAGACTAGGTGTGCCACTTACCACTGTGGCCTTTCCATTTAGTTTTGATAACGACAAAATTTGTACATATATAAACTTTTATTTAACAATTTCTCAATTTAAAAATAATTACTTAACTATTACCTATTACATTTTATAAGTTTATTTAATATTAGAATTTATCAAAGAAGAAATATTACGTTAAAAAACTATAGAAAGTAACATTAAAACAAAAACAAATGAAATATTTTATTTTTATTGATAATTTTTATATATTTATTTAAGAATGTTTATGTAGTAAACACTGCTGTTCAAATAGATTTAAAAGATGCTATAGTTAAAATCTTTTAAGATTTTTACACAAAACAATAAAATTGCAAATAATTGTAAGTAGTAACAATACAATAGCAAAAAATTGTAAGTAGTAACAATACAATTGAAAATAATTGTAAGTAGTAACAATACAATTGAAAATAATTATAAGCAATAAGTCACCATACAATTAGAAGTAATTGTAAGCAAAAAGTCACCATACAATTAGAAGTAATTATAAGCAAAAAGACACCATACAATTAGAAGTAATTGTAAGTAATAAGTCACCATAAAATTAGAAGTAATTGTAAGTAATAAGTAACCATACAATTTGAAATAATTATAAGTAGTAAGTCACCATACAATTACAAATAATACACAGATTAACTATACTACCTTTGCCATTAAAACACACAACCAGGGGGTTCAGTTTTTTTATCATCTCAACAATAGAACTTTTACCACTTCTGATTTCAGATCTAAATATGCATTTTAATAATTTTTATTAAAAAAATTAACGATAAAATAATAATTAAAATTAAAGTAAAACTTATAGTTACAACCCCACCATCCCCTCCTTTCCTGAAAAAAAAAAAAATTTACAAACTTTGTTAACTCGGCTGCAGACCTTGTTGTTCGGGAAACAATATTAGTCATACCAATTTTGTACTGTAAACATTTATAATCATTTTGCCAAGTTAATGGTTCGCTTATCAACCCGCTTTCAAACAACAATGGCCCTGAAGAGAGTAGAGATGATGAATAAAATGAAGTATCATTGAAGAATTTTTAAATACTTGAAGAATTTCAAAAATGATTCCGTTATCGAATGAAAAATTACTGTAGAAAAATTTATAAAACTATAAAAAAAACCTGTTTAACTTTTATAGAACACTTTGTTTCTGGTAAAAAAAAATACAGTAAAAAGACTCACAAAAATGGTTGTTATTTCCAGAGTAATGATGACCTCGATATGCAGAAACTAAACCTGGATTAATACCAACCTATGTATAAAAGAGCATAAAAAATGTAAAAACATGTTAGTTTATAATGATTATTTAAAGCTTAATAGGTTTTTTGAAGTTTTTTTATTTAGATAAAACAAAAAATATTTGACCAAAAACAACCTGATTCAAGCAACTTGAGGTTTAAAAGTTGCTTCTCCTAACTAAAATATGAAAACTAAAACCAAAACTAAAACCAAACTAAAATATGAAAACTAAAACCAAAACTAAAACCAAACTAAAATATGAAAACTAAAACCAAAACTAAAACCAAACTAAAATATGAAAACTATGCTGCACATTAAAATAAAAAAAAATATGGAAAATTTTTTAGACTTATCGATAATAATCTTGAAATAAATTCTTTTGAAAATAAAACTGTATACTAATAAACATTAAATCTTTACACCACTTTCTATCATCTGGTTTAGAGGTTCTTCTAGCAACCTTTTTATACACAGAACACTCTATCAGTAATAAAATTTAACAAGCCCTGAACAAGTTCTACAATTATCATTTGCCAAAGAAAAAAATAAAAGCATTTAGATTTTGGTAATGACTGATAACATGTTTAAACATAAATATATTCTTGCAGTTCTTAACTATAAACACAAACTACTGTTGTATATACTACTAACCATTAATGTTTTATATATCAACCACTATTATTGTATATATTAACCATTAATGTTTTTTATATTAACCATTAATTTTGTATATATTACCCAGTATTGTTGTATATATTAATCATTAATGCTGAATATATTAACCAGTATTGTTGTATATATTATTAATTAATGTTGTATATATTAACCACTATTGTTGTATATATTAACCATTAATGTTGTATATATTAATCACTATTGTTGTATTTATTAACCATTGTTGTATATATTACCACTATTTTTGTATATATTAAACATTAATGTTGTATGTTAACCACTATCAGGTATTTAAAAAAAAAAAAAAAAAAAAAAAACTTACAAAGATAATATCTAAATGTTCTTCAAGAAGGTCTGGTACCATTAACTTCATAACCTCTACTTCAGACAAACCACCAAGTTTTTTATCTGGAGCATAGAGTCTTTCTTTTTTTGACTGCCTTATCTTTTTACGCTTAGTAGCACTTGTGTCATCTTGCAATTTCTCACCTTCCTTTCTTTTTGAACTTTAAAAAAAAACTATATGTAAATTAAAAATGTATGCAATTAATAAAATTTTTTATTAATTACATAACCAATAAGTAAGCAGCGAGTGACTTTCTGTGAGAATCAGGGTAAGATAAAAACTTTAAATAATGATAAAATTGATAATTTTTTAATGTTGTTTCAAACAAATTCATACTAAAAGGTTTTTGTAAACAAAAGCATTATAAAGGGTCAAATTTTTTCTGAAATTTATTATTTGAATTAACTTGAGATATTTCAAAAGCAATGAAGTATAACTAATTGAGAAATTATTTGTGAAGTTTTATAATTCAATTACGTAGTAATATTTTAAAACCATGGGAAAGGCTAAGGAAGTTTCAGATGAAATAAAGAAATTAATTATAAAAGCTGAGGGGAAAAAATGACTTACAAAAGGATTTCTGAACTTTACAATGTTTCTAAATCAGGAACATGTCACATTATGAAAAGGTTTTGTCAGTGCAAAACAATTGAAAGCAAGCCTTGCTCTGGAAGACCTAAAGTTACAACTGAAAAGGCTGATAGATTATTAGTAAGGTATTGCAAAAATAATCCTCACATGACTGCTGTCGAACTTAATTCAATTATGCATCAGTTTCATGGCACAAACTGTAGCGTTGATACAACTAAACATTGATTACAACAAAATAATCTGTATGGTCGCCGTCCAGTTAAGAAACTTCTTATATCTGCAAGAAATTTAAGAATCAATAAAATTTGCGAGAGATCATCTCAGTTGGACAGTTAATGATTGGTCAAAAGTCCTTTTCTCCAATGAATCAAAGTTTATGCTATTCAGTAGTGACGGAATTAGATATGTCAGACATCCAATAGGAGACAGATTCAATCCAAAATATCTGTTACCTAATGTTAAACATGGAGGAGGAAATGTTATGATTTGGGAGTGTTTTAGTTGTGATAACCTGGGTCCCATTCATTGCATAAAAGGTATAATGGACCAGAGAGTTAGACATAATGAAGAACATTATGCTGCCCCATGCAAAGGACAAAATGAATTGCAATTGGATCTTTTAACAAGACAATGACCCAAAGCATTGTTCCAGATCCGTTAAGGAAAATTTTGAATTAAAAAAAGTCAACATTCTTGAATGGCCTCGTTCTTGAATGGTCACAGAGCCCAGATCTCAATTCCAACGTTCTTGAATGGTCACAGAGCCTAGATCTCAATCCCTTTGAGCATCTTTGGGAGTTCATTGACAGGCAATTAGTTGGTAGAAAACCAACCAACAAAGACAATTAATTTGCTTTGATTAAAGAACGTTAGTAAAATATTCCTCAGGATTTTCTCATTAATTTAGTTGATTCACGTCTCGTCGCTGTGATGCTGTTTTAAAAGGCAAATGGATATGCCACCCAGGGGCAGATCTAGGGTGTCGCCACTGATGCGCGTGCATCAGTCCTTTTGCACCGCTAAATTTAAATGTATCTCTTTTTCACTTTTTTTCATAATAAAAAATTAAAGTAGAAATTAGAATCTGATATTCTTAAAAATGTAGAATTTATTTTAAACTCGAAAAAAATTATTACTTCTAAATTCGATTTTATTTGATCTCTATAACTACTTATTCGTTACTTAGACAAAATTTCCTTCATTTTGGAGCAACTGATGCAATTGTTCTTCACCAAATACAATTTTTGATTGGTTAAAGAAGAAATTGATTGGTTAAAGAAGTGATTGGTTAAAAAAAGTGATGCAATTGTTCTCTAAATCATAAATGATTGGTTAAAAAACAGTTTAAAACAATCACTATTTATTAAGATAACAATTGCGTCAGTTGCTAAAAACCTTCCGCAAAAAAATCCAAACATTAAAAATATCAAGAAGAACTGTAGATACTGTTCTTAAACGGTTTACAGAACAGAAAACTATTTAGAGAAAACAAGGAAGTGGTCGAAAAAACCGCACAGCAAATCCTAGAGCTCTCGAACGGTTGGAGACTTCATTGGAAGAACATCCTGATTGGTCTGATAGATTTTGAGCAAAAAAACTGAAGGTTTCCAATTTTTTTGTACACAAATGGCGACAGAGACTTGGATATCAAAGTTTTAAAGTAGTTAAAATGCCAAATCGCAATGATAAACAAAATTCAACCGCAAAGAGTCGAGCTCGAAAGTTGTATGACAACTTATTAACAAAATGGATGCATTTTGATGGATGACGAAACTTATGTTAAAATGATTTTAAACAAATTCCTGGGCAGTGCTGCTATGCTTCTAAAATAAGAGGAAATGTGAGTGATAAATACAAGTATGTAATGACTGATAAATTTTTAAAAAAATTGATGATTTGACAGGCACTTTGCTCTTGCGGCAAAAAATCGCCAATTCATGTTTGTTTGGGCACAATGAAATCATCAGAATACTTGAAATATTGTCTTTCTTGTATAAAACAACTAATTAAAGCTCATAGAAGTACTTCAGTATTGTTTTGGCCTGATTTAGCCACAATACATTACTCAAAAAATGCTTAAAAGTTTTACAATAATAATGGAGTGATGTTGGTTCCGAAAAAGATGAACCCTCCAAACTGCCCCGAATTATGTTCTATTGAAAAATATTGGGCCATCATAAAAAGAAATTGAAATTAAGTGGAAAAACAGTAAAACAGATTTGAAGAAAAAATGGGATTATGCTGCTAAAACTTACAAAAATCATTCTGTCCAGAAACTTATGGGTGGCATCAAAAGTAAAGTCAGAATTTTTTGTAAAACTTAATTTTTTTTTATTTTTTCCCTATTAGTATGTAATCTTTACAGTCTTAATTTTTCAGAAATATATTGATTTAAATGCTTTTAAGCTTTCTTACATCCTTTTTTGATCAAGAAAGGTGGCAGATTTTTCCGATAACATGCCTTAAATTAAAGTTTTGAAACAAAAATGAATTTTTTAGCTTCAAATACAATTAAGGCTAGGTATTTGCAAAATATTCGCAAATATAAAAATCAGTTAACTAAAGAGTTAAAAATTATAAATAAAAAGTATCTAGTGCAGCCATATAGTCAGTCTTGAAGCCAGACGATAGTAAAGATTATGGTGCTTTAAGATAAAACTCTATTACTAAAGTTAATGGCGTTATATATTTCCAGCTAGAAAATAAAATAAACTGAGGTTGTTTTATATACTTTTTATATTTATTTTTACTTATCCTTTACACTTTATTAGTCCTAAAAATGAAACAAATAAAAAACAATTCTCTGATGTTTCTTTTTTAACAGAAAAAGTTAATTCTGCAAAACATGTCAAAATCCAATCTAAAATTAACTTTAAAAAAGACAATGCTTTTATACAGTTGCCTTTTAAACTTTTAAACAGTTGCCTTTTGAACTTTTTTTTTTTTTTTTTTTTTTTTTTTTAAACATCTTCACTTCCAACAAGGCTGCAAGCAACCACTATAAGAGTTGGAAGTTACTGGAAGAGAAAAGACTAAATCTGTAGAGCAAGATAACGATTGACTGATGACTTAAAAGATTGCAAATTATATGAATCAGGAAAGCAAGATGAAGGAAGCGAATTCCAAAGAACTGATGTTCGAGGAAAAAAACTAGAAGAATAAGAGTTTTTGAAGCACTTAGGAACAGTCACAGAAAAAGGATGAGACTTAATTGAATGGCGAGTAACACGAGAGTGAATTTTAGTAGATGGCACAAGGGACGCTAGCTCTTTAGAGCAGTGCCCATTATAGTATTTGTAGAAAAGAGAAAGGGAAGCAACATTACGACGATGTGACAAAGGTTGGAGATTGGCTGCAAGAGCAGGTCCAACTATGTTTACAATTCGTTTTTGCACCTTGTCTAAAAGAGAAAGAGCATCATTAGAAGATCCGCCCCAGATGTGGCAACAGTATTCCATACAGGGACGGATTTGAGATTTATAGAGATAGAGAATAGAATCTGGAGTAAGAAAGTGTCGAGCTCGATAAAGAGATGCAACCTTAGCAGATGCTAATTTTGCAATGGATTTGATATACGGTTTAAAAGAAAGATCAGAAGTAAGAGTTAATCCTAGAAGATTAATGGTAGATGACTCATCTAGTACATTACCATTCATAAATATAGGAAGATCTAAATTATTACGATAACGATTGGCCGAATAAAATTGAGTTTTATCTGAATTAAAGTTCACCAGCCACTGTGAGCCCCATGCTGTAGCAGAAGTGAGATCCTTTTCAAGCTCAGATACCCCCTCCAAGCAATCAGAGAGTGTAGGCTTCTTATCATGACAAGAGTAAATGGTAGTGTCGTCAGCGAATAATGCCACCTTAGATGTGAGAATATCTGGAAGATCGTTAATGTAAATTAAAAAGAGTATAGGGCCAAGGATTGAACCTTGAGGAACCCCTGAAGTTACAGGATGTGAAGAAGAGTGTTGTCCATCGAGGACAACTTTTATACTACGATTGGAAAGAAAGGACTCAATAATCTTGAAGACGTTACCAGCTACACCATAAGAAGAAAGCTTATGGAGAAGACCAGCATGCCAAACTTTATCAAAAGCTTTAGAAATGTCAAGTGCGATAGCCTTAACCTCTCCACCTCTATCTAATGCACGGTAAAACCTATCGGTTATTACTGTTAGCACATCAGCTGTAGAACGAGAAGACCGAAATCCATATTGATGATCAGAAAGTAAGTTATTTGATTCAAGATGAGAGATTAAGTGTTTGTTGATTAAAGATTCAAAAACCTTGCTTATGACAGGAAGAAGACTAATGGGACGGTAGTTAGATGAATCAGATCGCTCTCCGGAATTTTTGAAAATAGGGATAACAGATGCTGCTTTCCAGCATGATGGAAAACAAGACTCTGATAAGCACTTGTTAAATAGTTTAGAGAGTATGGATGAAAGCTCAGGAGAACACCTCTGCAAGACTACAACAGGAATGTTGTCAGGACCACAAGCTGTTGAAGAGTCTAAGCAGGAAATTACTTTAGATACAGAAGCTGAAGTGATGCGAATGTCA